AGGCTGTTCCCTGCGGGGGTCCGCGCTGCCGTCCGTCCTGCCGACCCACGGCCTCGTCCGGCTCCCGAGCGGCGCAGCCTCTTGGGGCAACAGCGCAGCCGTCATCCCGCGGGCAGGGAAGCCCCGGGCCTCACCGCGGGCGCCGGACTCGCCCGCCAGAGCCCGTGCTGCTGCGGGGCCTCCTCACACCCAGATCTCCAGCACCTCGGCTCAGCCCTCACACGCTCCAGCACCTCGGCGGCAGCCCACCTGCACGCCCCACCGAGGTCAGACCGCCACGCAGTTGGAACGGCGCTCTCGACGGTTACCGACTTCAGGCCGGCTCCCAGAGGAACAGCGTTGGGATCGACACCCAGGGCCAACCGGAGGATGCTGCCTTCTGGAGCTTCCCATCCCTTCCAGGCGTCGCGTGAGCAGCTGGAAGACAAAGACCCGCAGGTCCCAGGTGTCAGAGCCCAGAGCGCGGTGCCAAGTGCTGCTCGGTGCCTGGCCCATCTGGAGAACAGCTGGAGACAGCTGAGGTGTCGAACACCTCGGCTCAGAGAGGAAAGAGCCCACAAGCTGGAAGGGGGAAGCCTGGAGGAGACGTTCTGATCCTCTCCTCGTTCAGGAAATCCACTGGGAAAAGCAACCCAAACAGCTTCTCCCAAAACTCGCAATCAGTGCGGATCTCCCCTTACAGCAGGAAATCCCCACTGATCACCTATTCCTCTCCTGCCACATTGCGGCTTTCCTCAGGTTTACCTGCTTCTCAGCCATTAGCGAACGCCTTTGCCCAAAGAAGGGCAGTATAAGTTCAGCTATGTGACAACCACATCACCAAAAAACATCCAGTATGGCAAACCATGCCTCCCCCATAAGACTGCAGTTTCACTTGTGCCATCCTTATCTGTCCCCAGTGCTCAGGAGACCTTCAGCAGACAAGAAATCATCACATGGACTTCAGCCCCATGTCCTGCTTCTCTAAAACAACTCAGTGATGAGCTCAACCCTTTGGGGAGGTGGAGGAGGAGAGGGGTTCAAAGTGTTTGTGGAAACGGAGCCTGACCACAAATAGCTTCTCAGCTGTGTCACACAGCTGTAGTCTAAGCACTCTTCCAACACACACAGCCAGAAGCTGCACCAGGAAAGAAAGCAACCATGCCACAGCTTAATTTGCAGTAATATGCAGACACTCAGCACAAGAGACTCCAGTTTCAGGACTAGTGCACGTCCAGAGCTGCCCAAAGAGGCAGGCAGACTTGCCTCTTGCCACAGGAGCAACACAAGTTCTGACCACAGGATCCAAAACTGAATCCAGAGTTAAATCCCATCAGTCTCCTCCTAAACTTAGAAAATTCTTCCTTGCGTCAATTCTCTTCCAGCTTTGTTGGAGGAGTGAGAGAGCAGTTCTGCTGGCAATATTTTTCCCCATTCAGGTAACTGAGCTACCCAATGTTGGCTGGTTACAAGAGGCTTAAGCTGTTTGTGCAAAAGGAATAGCTGCAACATCCAGGCAGGGAAACCGAGCTCCTGCAACATGCCTGTGCAGAAAAAAAAAAACAAACACGTTTTCTGGACAGGCATGACTACTCAGTTGCACCAGCCATTCATTTTCGTCTTCAAGAAAAACAGCAACTTTGCCTGCGTGCCAGAAACCCTCTGGAGACTTAGGAGAGTTCCCAAGTCAATCTCTTGATTGAACCCAGGGAAAACAACGGAAGCATGAACATGACACCACATGGCAAAGGCAGCCACTGGCACCACCACACTACAGTGCCACGCAAGAGCTCAGAGAGCACGGACAGCGCAACACGAGGGGACGCAACGGAAGCCAGCAAGGTCGAGAATAAGTCACTTTTGGTACAATTGCAAAAAGATATCAAACAGGACTTGCCTCTTTTTTTGTCTTTTTCTAAGTTTTATAAATAAAGTCTGATAACTCTTTATAAAAACTAACCTCAGAGCCACAAACAGTTTGCAGGAGGTTCATGAGAAACTTTAAAATTATTTATTTATTAACTTTTAACTAGCAAAGTCTCCGAGAATATTTCCCCATTTATATGGTCAAATATTCTCACCCTCTCGGATAAAAAAAAAAGCTGACTATAAATACGCTCTCTCTTCTGTCCGATTTTACTTTTAAACTTAGATAATTTAATAACTCTTAAAATGATGTTTCTCTCTTTAAATAAAGGGCTCTTTAACCACATAAACTGGTTGTGTAAACCATCACACTAGAGACACTTGATACCCTCAAAACACGGGAACAACTAGTGATTTTGGTCTTGTTCAGTGCAACACATTAGGCACAAAACCGGCCTGCAGCCAACACGGTACCTTCCCTCCCTCCCCGGGGTGCTGGGCCCCACACAAGGCCCCTGCCCTGGCTCCTTCCCCACCGCTGGAGCGGAGGCAGCAGGGCCCTACGGCAACTTCCTTTCCACTGCTGCTAGCTTACACAGCTAACACCATGGAAGTCCGAAGGAAACCCACTGTGAGGGCACAGAGGCACACCTAGAAACAAATACACAGTTGATTACACAGAACACCCCAATTGCAACTACTGGTACCAAATGAGACAAAAGCAGCAGGTTCAGGCACCTGGCACTCAGGCACCAAGATACACCGCCTGGAAGTGTAATGAAATAAAGCCTAAAGAAATTAGGGTTCCCAGCCTCCAGGAAGCAAGCCTCCTCCCTCTAGATCGGCCTCCCCAAGCCCTTCCCCGCCGAGCAGCGCGACAGGCTCATCTGCCGTGCCTTCGGCCACGCTGCACAGACTCTCTTTGGCTGGAATACCAAGGTCTCGCAGTCTGTCCCACGGGCACCGGAGGGTTACAGACCCCTGGGCGGGAGGTACTGTCTGCACAGGACAAGGGATGCATCACCACTGCTCACATCGATCTGAACACAACAAAACAAAACCGGAGCGATCAGCAGGCCAGTCCCGGGCCAAGTGGAAGGAACCCGGACCCATGTGGGGAGGGTTTGTGCTTTGGGGATTCCAGGCTGGTTTTGTGCCTAATTGCCCTGCACAGACAAGCTCAGGCAACGCTCACTTCACTAAGACCGGGCGTCCGTTTTGGATTTCACTATTGTGATGACACTAGTAGTAGCAACCTTGCCAGGGATGAGAGGGCCCATACTGGAGGGGAGCGGCCCCCGCGCGGGGGTCACAGGGCTCCGGGCCACGGTTCTGGCGAAGTTCTGGAGTGCCTCGTATTTGGAGCGGAGAGCATCGAGTTCCATTTTCATGCTGGCGTTCTCAGAGGCCAGCTTCTCCACTTCCTGCTGCAGCTCTGCCTTCTGCTTCTCCAGTTCCTCCTTCTGGGTTACGCGCTTGACTCTGCAGCTGGCTGCGTAGCCCCGGTTCTTCAGCGTGCGCCGACGCTGCTTCAGCTGGATGATCTCCTCCTTTGACAGGCCCCGTAGATGCTGGTTCAACTCCCGCACAGACATGGTCACCAGCTCCTCATCTGTCAAGCTGGTCCCATTCTCGCCTGGCTCCCGCTTCACCTGGAGAGAAGAACACAAGGATTCCTGAAGGCTAGAGCAGGTGCCTGCACCCGCCACCGTGCCCCTTTCCTCCACCGGCTGCTTTACCTTTAAGGCCTTGCTTCCTTTGTTGGGGGTCGTCATAACACGACAGCCTCGTCAGTCAGCTTCTGGAAGGGGAGAAAAGGGAAGGAAGGTCAGATCAGCTCCCCGGGATGGAGCAGAGCCCGTGACGTTCCCATGGCAGAGCCCAGCAGCAACGTCCTCTGCCAGCGCACATCCCCACCACCCTCCCCAGGCAACGCTCGACCAGCACCTGACCGGATTGGACTCACAAGCAACGGGCTCTGTCCTTGAGCAGAAACTGCTACTGTTCATCTGTCCTTCCACACCCCTATTCCCACGGAGACTTGTGGCAATGCTGTTTTTTGCTTGGGGTGGGGGATATTAAAACACTGGGAGGAGTCAGAATACACGGAAGCCACATTTTTAAAAATAGCCTGGCAGGCAGCAGGCTCGGTCCAGAGCACGGCTGCTCCAAGCCAGTCATGCTGACTCAGCACATTGGCAGTCTCGGGGCCTCCTGCTCCCAGCCTCATCCCTTGTAATTCTCAAGCACAGCAAGCCAGCTGGTCACTGCAACACCCCCTCTCTGTTAAACACCCAAGCACAATCTGGGATTTGGGAACTCCCCAAGAGAAAAGTCCTGCCAGATCCTAGACATTCCCAGGGACCCAAACAGGCAGGGTTAAGAACACGTGACCCAGGGCAAGCTGCACGGGGGAAGCCTTTGCCTCCACAACACGCCCCACGGAGCATCCTACAGGACAGGAGACGCCCCTCCTGCACTCGCTCCCATCCAAACTTCTCCTGCTTCCCAAGAACGCCAGCACGCTCGGGGTAAGGTTGAAGCTCTGCACCCAACCGTTTCGGGGGGAACGGAAGGACAACCTGATCCTGCAGCACAAGCAAGCATTAGGCACGCTGGATTCCCATCGCAAATTCGGGTGATACCTCAGCAGCCCTCACCTCTCCCAGTCAGATCTTTTCTATGAGAAAGCCCCTCTCAGTCTCCGGCAATGCCAGGACACAGAATCACTTTGTCCCCTCCCTTATCTTCAGAGCCAAGCTTTACTGCATAAGAAAACAAAGATTAAGGGAGGCCAAAAGTAGAGGAGAGCAGACCCCTTCACTGCCAGGGAAGACAGCACTTCAGAACTGATAGGAGAGCAATTCCCAGGTCTGTTTTTAGAGTGAATCACACCCAAGCCCACGCTTCTGTCCCTAGATACCTCCTCCCCTCAGGCTTTAGGTCAAGATGTTACTATATTGCCCAATTAATTGAATCCTCTCAAATATTATTCAACAGACATCACTGCAACTCAAACAACCAGGAACTAACTGCAAGCTTCCTTAGGCAATGCGAGGATTCTTGTACACATCAGTCCACAAACACCTTCATACTTTCAGTCTCCTCAGTGCCCAACGGACAACAAAAACGCATTCTCCCACATAGCCGCTATTTTGTTTGCTAAACGTAAGAGGCACTGGCACAGGGCTATTGCCAAGAACCACATGCACAAATCCGCAAATGCAAATTTATGCTCTTTAGCAGCTGTGGCTCAGGCTCTCTGCAATGCATCTACCACTGTCCATTAGAGGTGAAAGGGGTTAGTGCTCTCCAAGACACCTAGTAGACAGGTAAAATTCAGATGCTCCCAAAGCTTGGAGCCTGCCGGGAGGCAGGCTATTTATACCCAGAGGACAATGTTCCTTCCAATGAGATGCCTGCTACAACCTGACAGTGCTGGTGTAAAAAGGTCACTTTGTCAGCCAGGGAAGCTAGCTGCAAGGAAGCAGGCTAACACAGGACGGGCAGCACATACGCAATTGCTTCATAAAAATCAATTTTTCCCTTTTGCTCATACCTCTCTCCTCTGCTCCTCCTTGGCAAACAACATACCTCCTCTGCTCCTCCTTGGCAAACAACATGGCTGCTGAGAAGAGGGGCAGAAGAAAGGGATCAACTGGGGAGACCAATAACGCCACCCCAGCAGCACCTCCCTGCAGCGTCCTCTGCTGAGCATAAGGAGCAGAGGCCAGGCACGGTCAGTGGGAACAGAGAAGTTTGTTTGCCTTGTGGCCTTAACCAGCACTCAGCTGCCTGGCAAGCACTCAAACTTCCTTCATCACAGCGGAGCTGAAAACAAACAACCAAGGCCACGGGCGCTGCAGCAGCAGACCGGCCCCGGGGAAGGGAACTCCGCCGGGCAGGCTGCGGAGATTCAGCAGCGGTGCTCGCACAGCCTGGACCCACAAAGGCCCTGTGGCACTGTCACTGCTGTTAAAGCTACAGGAACCCACAGAAGAAAATCCCAAGGAACAGGCTAACATGGGGGAAGGAAACTGCATGTTCAAATTTAGGGCCAAACCGGCTCAGCAAAACCCTTTACCGGGGAATCCAGAGGTCTATGCAACGCATCTCAGGAGCCATCTAGAAACACTTCTCCTATCCACATCATACAGCTACAACCTGATAAAGCAAATTTTTTACATGACAAAAGCCTGTGATTGGGTTGGCTGAACAAACGAGGCTGCCACAAAGAGGCCTTCTAACGAAGCCCACTGCACCCTCCCAACCCTCACCCAAAGTGCTCGCAGATCCGACCGCTGCTGTCAGGAGAGTCAGGGCAAGCGGGAACCAAGAGGAATCAGTAGCTGGGAGACATCCAATGCACTGCAAGAAGCCAGTCAGGATGGAGGCAGCAGACTGATCCGCAGACAGGAGAAGAGACTGGTCCCAGTAATTTAACCTTTTTTTGTATTTTAAGAGTCAGGCATTTCCAGCTAGAGGAATCCAACTTTTTCAGGCCTCGTTCCCATCCAACACGCCTCCCAGAACAGCCTCAAAGCTGTAACAAGACCCTGGCTGACAGCATCTGGGTGATTTCACCTCTCCTCGCCTCCAGTCCCCTTTCCAAAGGGGTCAGGGATGGAGACAAACCAACACACTAGTCCGTCGGTAGCACGGGAAGAACGACCTAGACACAAGTTGCTGGCTATTTTCTGGCCTTGCTCAAAGGATCAGAGACAGAACCATTTGGCAGCTCGCACAGAGGACACCCAGAGAACTGGCGTCAAGACAGAGACCAAGCTGGGTCTAACTCTCCAGACTGCTGATTCTCAGCTTTCGATAGCTTCCTGAAGAAGGATCACACTGAGAAGTGCCAAATGCAACGACTGCAATGAAGAAAACGCAGCCTCAACACATTTCCCCAGAGCTGGAAAGGCCTGAACTCAGCACAAGCACGGCCAATTCTCTCCTCAGCCCAGAGGCAGCACGACAGAGCTGACAGCCGCGCGCATGATTCGACGCAGGCCCCATTCTCCACATTCCTGATTCACAGAGCGGTGCCATGAGCCCAGTGTAAACACGGTGACGTCACTCGTTCCAGCACAGGCCAGCCCGGAGAGGGAGGCCCATCTATCGGGATGCGGAGGCAGGGGAAGGCGCCGGGCGCTACGAGACGCTCCGCGGCACGCCGCAGGAAAGTTCTCTCTGCCCGCGCGGGTTTTGAGTTAGTTGACACAATTGTCCCAGGAATCCAAGCAGATCAGTTGTTTTCCCTCGCTACACGCACAGTCTGCCTCCCGTGCATCCCCGCTCTTC